TTTTTATTTTTGTGGTACTGCCTTAAGGTGTTTTACCAGAAGTATGGGCTGTCATGATTAGAGAATCCTGTAAAACAGCTGTAATAATTGCACAATGTTCTTTATTCCTGTCAGGTTTATTCATAGACTTTTTTTTTTAAGACACACGTGGGACTGTCTCTGCACACATCATTGATTTTGCTAATAAAATCTTATATTTTGATGGTACATTTAATTGGAAAATCATTAACTGCTCCATAAGACTTACACTATCATGGGATAGGAATGTTTCCTGTTGCCTTCATGGAGAGATTGATCTCGATGGATTTCTTTGATTTCTTAACAGCTACTGGGAAAGGACACAGAATCAGATGCCTCATCTCTGCTCCAGTCTCTCTCACCAAGGCTTTTCTTCCTGCAGGGAGTGGAGAAGGTGCTTGAAACCTGTTTGAAATTATTTCAGTGCAAAACATGGGGGGAGGATACCATGTTGTCCCCAGTGGTCCCTCCATGTGAGGCTCCTACTGTAGCTGTGACCATAGGTCAGCTGCTCAGGTGGAGGGCATTGTTTCTATCTGGGCTATTCAGGGACCAGGGCAGGTTAAATTGCCTCTGTCCAGTATCAGCCAGGACATACTTGAGAGCCTCAGGCTGAGTTTTTGCTGTCCCTTCTAGCTGAGTTCTTCAGGAGCACAGCACAGGGTTTTAGATCCCACTGCAAGCCCAGAGCCCACGGAAGAGCCCAGAGCAAGGTGAATCTGCTTTGGTTTATTTGGCTGCTAGAAGGCTTTTCCCCTGTAAGGGAGTATTGGACTGGCAATCAGAGAGCCACCACTGAGCCAAACTCCAGTCCTGTATTTAGTGGCAATTAGCAGATTTGAGCACATCCTTCATTTGGCCAAAAAACCTGGGAGATGACACAAGTCTGTATTTTATTGTATCCATTAATTTAGTGAGCGTGTGTGTGTTGTATTTGAGGGAATGTTTAGTGTTCAGGTTTGTAGAGCTGAATCTGATTCTGTTTTACAGGAGACAGCCCAGTTGTCCATAGCAACCTGAAATTGATTTTTCCCCCACTGCCTGCTGAAAGCTGTTCCCTCTTGAATCATCCCTTTAATTTAATATAGTGAACAGGATGTCCCTGCATGCAGAACCTTTTTTTTTTTAACAAGTAACCTAGGTAAAAAAAAAAAAAATTAAAAAAAATGGTATTTGAACAACAGCCCTGCCTCTGTCTTTATTGCCACTTGGCATTAGTCCTTGCTGTGCTGTTTCCTTGTGCTTTGTTCAGGCACTGGAGGCCGTTATCAGTACTGGTTAATCACCGCTGCTGCCACAGGGGGATGTCCCCCTGCACGCCCTGGCCAGCATGGCAGTAGGTCCCTCTTTGGCATGAAACCCTTCAGGCTGCCCTGTTTTGTGCTGAAAAATCTATTTTTTTGTAGCGTGTATCCCATCAGCCCTGTGCTTTCCCCTGACGTGAGGTGGTGCTCACGTGTGGCACTGGTCATGTTGTGGCTCTGGCTCTGACCTGCCTTTTTCTGTGCGTCTTTCCAGTGCATGCATTGGACCTGCTTCAGAGGAGGCTGGTTGGAAGGTGTTGGGGAAGAATGGGAAGAGCTGCCATGCTGTTTTGTTCCTATTTGCAAAAGAAATCTTTGTCATCTGTGTGGTGCTTGAGGACTCCAAGGGAGTGATTACCTTGTCAGAGGAGTGCCAGGCATGAGGAATTTGGGCCATTTGTGCTTTTGCTACCTGGAAGAGCACTTGACTACCTTTTGGAAGAATAACAGCTTGTGTGTGGTCAGCACAGAATGCAACCTCTTTCCACATTTGCTTGCCCCTGAATTTTGCATAGCATGGCAAAACAGCAGAGCTTTTTTCCTGTGTTCTTAGTTCTTGCCCTGCTTGTTGTGAAGCTGCTGGAGGAGGATGTGTTGCTGGGCTGGGGCAAGGTGTGCCGTGGTAGCAGTTGTCCCACCAGACTTGTCCCCGTTGATTGTTCCACACAAAGAGAAGCAAGCTGCTGCTTGCATCCATGCTTGGGCCATTAATACAAATTGCACCAATCTGTGCTGTGAAATGTCTGCCTTTCCCTGGCTTGTTTTATGAAAAGCTAAAGGGAAAAAAGAAAAAAAAAGCACACTAAATCAATATGGCAGAGGCTTCAGTTGCGTGTTCACCTGCTGTCACTGTGAGATGAAGCCATGTCACTTGACATGCCTCGTGTATGGCACTTGTTGAGAAGATAGTTATTTCTTCTCTCTGTTTTTTTTCATGTCAGTCAAAAGATGGTTTGTTTCATGTGCATCATCTGTACGTTGCGCTGAATAAGCTACCCAAAAAAGGTTAATCTCCAATTCCATACTGCTTTTACTGTCGCATCCAACTGCTTCAAAGACAGCAATGAGTGTATCTCTAATGATGACTCCCAGAAACAGAGGTAACATAGGCATCTACTTCTTTCAGGTGCCAAAACTAAGACTTACAAGGCCTGTTTTTCCAGAACACTGTGTTTTGTAGTGCTGTACATGGTTATAGTACAAGTCTTGATTAAAGGTTGAACACAGAATCTCAATCCCTGCCTGCTAGCTCTTGTCTCTTCTGGACGTAGTCCTTCTGTATCTTTATTCAGCCACAAAAGTCACAGCAATAAATATGTGGGAAAATTTGATATATGTGACTTTGCTCTTATCGTTCAGAAGGTTTATGGCAGAGGCATAAACAGGATCTAATCTTTCCAAGTGACGCTCAGCTGCCAGACCACAAAGCTTCCTTTCTGGTCTCCTTACCACTGCCTGCCTTGCATGCTCTCCCTCTTCTGAAAACTGAATGAGGGAGAGGAAGCCACTGTCCCACATGGCTGTAACTTCCTTTTTGACATGACTTAGCTTTCATACACCAGTAGTATGTAGAGTGGACATTGCTTCAGGTGTCAGTGAACTTCTTTGTGTCTTGTCATTCCTTCCTTCAGCAGTACTCCCTGCTTGGTATGATCTGGCTGAGTTATGCAGAAGTTCCTCGACTGTTGTCTGTAACTTCTGTCAGTGGGATATTTGTAAATTTAAATGCTTCCTCCCAGAAGTATCAAAGGAACTGAGGCCACTTTTCAGCATGGACATGAAAGGCTTTCGCGCACTGGTGCAGCCAGGATTGCCATGGAGAACAAAGGCTTTTGCTAATCGCTTCTAATGCCTTTCAAGTTTATGCCTCATTTTTTCCCCTTTTTCAGATGGCCTCCCAGAATACTGAGACTTCACTGACTGACTCACCAAATAATTAACAGGAGGAGGACTCAATCTCTGAAACTTTTGAACACCTCTTTTAATTTTCTTGAATAAGCCAGTACTCTGGCCAGGATCCAATTTGTGTAATTACATTTGACCTAACTTAATCCCTTGGCAGTTTCAATTGCATGTGGTAGTTGTCTTGGCTCCCTGTCCGGGGCTGCCATTCAATGCTACTCCATGGTTTTCAACAGCTGTCGTCATTCAGCTGTAGAAATGGGTGTATTTCCTTGGTGGAAGCATTCCTCATATCTCTATCCCTTGCTAAACATCCTTATCTCACTAGTGTTTTGGGAGGTAACGTGTCTGAAGCTGCAGATGATGATGTTGAAGTCCTTGGAGCTGCTTTCACCCTTAAAGATGGGCATGCATTTAGAGTCTTTTATCAGTTGTCCAACATACATTTTGAGATTACTTTGAGTTTTTCACCTTCAGGCATTTATTGCTCAGTCTCCTCAGCTATGTGCTGCTTTAGGGACATTATTGGGGTAGGTATTCCTCTTTAGCCTTGGAAACAGCACTTCTGCTATCCAATCAGTGCTAAACAGGAGTGTGTCACCTTCCTGTGCTGACAGCAATTGGGCTGGCTGGCTGTTAAGTGTTGGCATTGCTAAGAGTGCAAGTGATGAAGGAAAGCAAAAGCCCAGGACAGCTGGTCGGACTACAAAGGATGAAAAAAACCCATCCCAAGCAGAAACTTGGAGATGGACAAAGTGTGGTAGCCAAAGGTACAGTCAGGTGGATGATCCATGCAAAAGACAAGACACTGAGTTCTTGCATAGGCACATCCTTAGATGTGCAAGAAGCATCTTGTTTTCACAGCAAGTTTCTTGGCTTCAGCCATCGGAAAAGGCGTATTTGTTACAAAGCCACTTGATCCTTTGGGGGCAGGAGCAGCTCCTGCTGAGGTGAGACAGGAATTTAGATGAACTGGGGTGCAAAAGGTGATCTACTGCTGAAAGGTGCTGTTGTTGCAAATTGTTTGCTACCATCTAACTCTGGTTTTCCAAGAGCCTCCAGAAGTAGGGCAGCAAATGTATCATTGCTGCTCTCCCTTGTTGCCTGTTACCTTGCATGAAATTTGGGGTGTTTTTGTCATTCAGAACTCTCACCTGTGTTTCTGAACACTGTTCATGTAAATCCTTTCTTTACCTTTCTACATTGTCACCAAACACTTGGGTTCATGCGAGATTTCATTTTGCGAGTTAGAACATACTGAATCAGGAGGTATGGAGTGAATACAACAGCCATTCATCAGACCTGACTTTTATCTTCTGGATCTAGCCCATAATTACACACATTTAAATCTCAGAGCAGACTGGAAATCTTTTCTCTGTTGGTTTCAGTGACACTGTAAATAAAGTCACCAGTGGTAATATTAAAATTTGTCCTCTGTCACAGAGATTAAAGCTTTGGAGTCAGAGCCATCTGATTTTGACATGTGCTGTGTATTGCTTATACCTTGGCAGAACTCTCTGCAAAGTCCATGAACACTTTGTTTCCTACAACACAAAATCATCAAACCCTTATGGTGATTGCCAGAGAAAATGTGGCCAACTCCAAGTGGTGGTGCATAATGTATCTACAGTCAGTGATGTTGCTTTTGAAGATCTCTTTGCATGCTAAATAACAGGGTGGGGAAAATTGCATTTCAGAGTTGCTGGTTTTTCCTTTACTCCTGGACTGGACTCTTCCTGCCATCCTGAAGACAAATCTCTTTTTTTCTTGTTTCAGAGTGCTTTGTAACTGTGAGTGCCTGAATGCATCAGCCTTTGGATGTGAGCATCTTCCCCTGAAACAGCCTTGTGATATCCAAGTGCCTGCTCTCTTGGGGTAAGGAGACACAAACACATGCAGAGGTTGAGAATGTGCTGTGAGCAGAAGCAGAATGGACAAAGAGAGGACAAGCAGCACTGCCCCAACTTGTAAATTTTGGAAATAGTGAATTTGTCATGGAGAGAGAGAATAAACTAAATCTGTCCACTGCAAATAAAACAAATTATAAACTTAAATTGCAGCAAGGAAATTTAGCTGAGGTGTGTCAATGAATGGTCTGCATTAAGGATAGGTGAATGCTGGAGTGGATCCCCCCAGGAGGTCAGGCAGTTTCAGTCATGGAGAGGTTCAAGAACAAGTTGTAAGAGCACTAGCAGATGTGCTTTTAGGAGAACCGATCCTTCCATTGGTGGAAAAATTGTCTAGGTGACTTCTGGAGAGTCCTGCTGATGATTAGAAATGGGAATGTGTGAAATTCTTATCTTAACAACCTTATTCAAAGCTGATAAGGTGAAAGACAAAGCAGAGTGTATCTGTGCAGAATGAGCTGTATGGTTTGGTGAAGAATTGATGCAGCGGCAATTAACGCTGGTGCTCAGTGACTTTGTTACCTGAATGATGTTATTCTGGAGGGAAGCATAAGATCAGGGGAAAGAAGAGGTTTAATCATATGTTGTTGGCATGCAGTGCAAACTTGTGGTAAAAACAGGAAGTTGTATCAATTCTGGCTCCTTGATAGTAAGTTTCTGAGAGTTTGTGTCTCTTCCATGGTCCATGTAAGGGATTTACTCTTACTCTCAGGGGTGTAATCTCATCTGCTTTTTTGTGACATGAGAACACAATGCTACAAATACAGGTATACAGACCAAAACACGAATACCATGTGAAACACAGAGAAAGGAACTGAGTGATTACTTTTCCTCTCTTTTTATAGGGCTGATGAAGTGGAGGAGAGTTGAATTTTTCTTCTCTTGCTCTTCTGTTTATGTTCTCCATTGTGTTTCTTTGTCTTGTCTTGACAGCAAACACAGCAGACTTTTCCTGAGTTTAAAAATGATGGCTCACCAGCTAGGTCTTGAAATTATGTCCTGAAGATAGCTGCTCCTTTAGTTCCCTTGCTTTTTCCTCCTTCATCCCTTCCCTGGGAGCTGCCAATGACAAATGGAACCTGGGCTCAGGCAGCCTCCAAGCCATTGTATGAGCAGGGGGTGTTCAGGTGCTTTGTCTTCTTTGGTCCAGTTAAGAAGATCAGAGAGATACCTGTCTTATCTTGTAGGACATCTGGATTTCAACCTCTTGTTGGACTTTGGTTTCTCTAAAATTTACGTTTCATCCCTAATGTCAGCAAACACTGGTGTCTGCTCTGGAGTTACACCAGTGTCTTATTGTTCCTTACCGTCTTCTGCATAGCAGAGATAAGCTGTTGTGTCTCAGGGGTATGGGGACATGGAAGAAACCTGCAAATAGCTCTAAGAAATGCAGGTGGTGTCAAGAAGAAAATAAGGGATGCCTTTTTGAAGTCACCTTTGTACATGCTCTTCTATTTTTTCTCTTTTCTTTTTTTCTTCCTCTTGAGCTTTTCAATTCCTGCAACTATCTGCTCAAATCTTGAAAGCAAAATGTGTTCATGGAAAGATACAATTTACTGTGTTCCCCCATGATCTTTTGATCTCAATCAATCAAATAAATCCAAGACCTTGCAATTCACCTTGTTGCAAGGACAGTTAATAAGTTGAGGGGTTGTGCCAATGGTAGTGATGGTTTTCCAGCTTTGTGCTTTTTTAAAAAATTCTTTTTTATGGTTCTGACCTTTTGGACTGGTCAGGGTAAGATTATTTGCAAAGAATAGTCCATTAATATGCCTGTCAGGACTGGAGTTAACATTCGAGCATTGCTGCAGAAGAAAGCAATATGCCAAAGTTCAATTTCGATTTCCCTGCAGGGTTGAAAATAATGACAAGACTCACTTAACATGGCAGGGATGAGTCCTGCCACCTCTATGGGAGTGGCTGCAGGGTCTTGCAGCACTTTGTAGCTGTGTGCCTGGTTCAGTTGTCTGCTCCTGAAATTTGGTGTCTGGCATCTCGTGCTGGGGCTTGGTTGGGGTGGAGGAGCCCTGGATGCATCTCCTGGCTCTTTGAGGTGCCAGCTCAGTCAATTGGTAGATTCCCTTGATTTAGCAACTGATTTTTTTTTTTCCGAGTGCTGTGCTCCTTGCAGTGCAGTTTGTGGAGCTGCTCTAAGCTCTGTCCTGCAAAGCCACCCTGTTGCCATCCCTGCACTGCGTCCTTGCCCTCAGTGCAAGCCAGTGTGGTGTTTTGAGTTGTGTCCTGTGTCACCTGCTGTGATCTCTGAGCCTTTTGGGAGTCCCAGATTTCACAGTTGCATTTTCCCTGCTGTGACTATTCATAAGAAGAATTCCTAGATACCTCCCACCTAGTGTTTGCCACCACAGAGGCGTGCATTATCCAGTGGTAAGGATCTCGCTTTACTATCAGGAAATATCATGGTGGTTATTGATGTCAGCAGAATTGACTCCTGTGGGTGAGAGCAGCATGAGGAGCGAAGATGGAAACCAGCAGCTGCTATTTGGGCATTAATCTGCAGCACTTGAAAACTACACAGTCCATTGTGTACAGATGGGCTCTTTAGACACTGGCCAAAAATGTAAGTATAGTTTGTCTGAAGCATGTGGCTCTTCGGAGTTTATTTTTCTTCCTTCTGTAGATGAGAAAGTCAAGGTGCTAAAGACCACTTTAATTTTATTCACAGGAAGTTCATGGTGGTGGAGCCCTGAGGCTGGATCTGAAACCCATGGGTTTGTCCAAAAATCCCTCTAGAAAAAGCCTACAAAAAAACTATGCCATCAATTGAGAAAGCAGACTGGGGCTAGGTGGTGAAATAAAGGTGCAAAAAGCAATGCAGCTTGTGGGAAGTCATCTACAGAGCACCTCCATGCCGGACCCCTGCGGCAGCTCCACAGCTCTTGGTCCAAACCAGCAGTGCTGTAACTTGCAGTGAAGTGGATGGGCCTGGTTCCCTGTTATCACCAGCTGAAATGTTTTAGAGTAAAAGAAATAAATTTGTCTTTAGGCCCATCTTAAAATCCAGATGTCATTTCTCTAGCACCTGTAAATAACTGAACCCTTTGCTGGATTTACCTGCCTTGCACATAAAAGGTGAGGATATGGGGAAAACACCTAAGAGGGTGGCAGAGCAGAGCCTTTGTTGTGTAGTGCCACACCCTCACAAGCCTGGTGGCCGTGCTGAGAGTTGGGAACAGCTGTCCCCATCCCCACAGACAGCTGCCATCCTCCAGGTGGCAAAGGAAAAGCTCTCCAATGTGCAGGAGTTTTGCATGTCCCAGAAAGCAGCACACTCTTTTCTTATTCCAAAAGGGACTGGCAATTAGCAGCAGGGGTAATAGCCACCTGGAATTAAATTCTGTGGAGGCATGAGAAATAGTAGGGTATATTTGGAAATATCTATTGCATATATATATTCCTCTTAAGAGAAACATGTTGGAGGTGCCATATCCATAAATACTAATAAGGCTGTTTGATTCCAATTTTCAGGTAAGATTAACATTTTATTGAGTATTATATCTGTCACATTCAATGCTTTAGTGTACCATCCTCTCAGGCTTATTAGCATAATTGCAGTGCTTAAGCAACAATAAAAAATTCAACAGTAAAATAGCGGTTAGCACAGGCAATTTGTTATCAAAAGCTTTTACTTAAGGACAGCTTTTGAGCATATTTATTATCCAGTTAGGGCTATACATTATTTTTATTTAGAAAAACAAGAGGGAAGCAATGTAGGAATATTTTTTCTCTTTTAGTGTTTAAATCAGAAGGCCAGAGAATTGGTCACCGCCTTTTTCTCTTTCTTAAAATCACCCAAAAAATTCACTTGGAGTGGGGAGGCAAGATAACAAAACAGACTCGGGGCAGTGCAAGGGCAGGGGTGGCCCAGACTCACATTCCAGAGGTGGCTGCAGACCAGGGGGCAGTGCAGGATGGGATGATGCTCCCACAGATGAGGGGAGGGACTGGACAGGACCTGCTGGAAAACAGACTTTGATATCAGTGCTGGCTGTCTCTGAGGCTGGTGCAGAGGAGCTTGGCCTGTCTGTGACAGTGCTGTATACCCCTCCTCCTTTCTTTTCTTATTCTGAAGACTCATAGGGGAGCAGTCCTTTTGCTGAAAAGCTGTAGCATAGGTGTGAATGCATGTTTGTGTGTCAGCACTTGCCCGTGCACATACAAAGTTTCTGTTGCCAGCATGGCAAGATTTTGTGTGAGTGTTTAAATTTTCAGCACATTTTTTGTGTGTACTTAAAGTACAGAGTTGTACCTCATAAATGAAGAAGTAAATGAGTTTTCAACACCACTTGAAGTCCTTACACTAGGATGTCCATCAAGAAAAGCACATGGAATTGGCAAGAGGAAGACTTCTGCTGTGATTGCTTGTGATTCCTTTGCTGGTAGAGCCTCTTTTTGCTTGTGCTTGCTCTTCCAACATCCTTCAGCCTTTGCTTGAATTGTCCTTGTTCCCCAGATCTGTGCTCACCTTCAGTATCCTCCCTGTCACTGCAACCTTGATGTCTCTCCTCTCATGTATTTTCCTCATTTTTCCTTGTTCTGGGAGACATTCTTTGCCTTGTGCTGCTTTATCCAGAGGCCACTCTTCTATCTTGATGGATGACTTAACAGTGGGCCTGTTGCTCTGTCATTTTGGTGGTACCCAAAGCCCAGGGTGAGGATCTGCCACAGCTCTGGTGATGCCTTGATTTGGCTCACAGTCTGGATAAGCAAGACAGGTAAACTTGTCTGGTGTTTTTGCTCCCATTTTGACTGGTGTCTAAGCTCACTGTGAGAAGTGAAGGGAGTGCTGCTGCCCCAAGGAAGAAGCTTGTTGTTCATAGTGAAACAGGATGTGCAAGCAGGTTGTAGGAATTGGGAAGGGAGCACATGGAGACAGGTGAAACTAAATTGGGCATATATTAGAGAAGTGATGTCCTTGTGGGGTCCTCTTCACAAACACCCTCTTCTGCG